CCCATTGCTTCCCCCTCCCTCCCCTGCCCGCCCTCCCTCATGAGCCCTTGGTAAGTTATAGATTATTATTTCCATATTTCACATTGTTCTCTGTCACCCCTCACCCACTTTTCCATTGTTCGACCCCCTGGGAGGGGATTCTAGGTTGATCCTTGTGTTAGATTCCCTCTTTCTCCCCCTACCCTTCCTTAATCCTCCTGGGATACATTAAAAAAAACATTTTATGAGGAGCTCTTACAGATGGCATTAAATTCCATAGTTTCATTAGATCAAGCATAATTGTACAATTGCTGCCCTCGTGATTTTCAATATTTTTTCTTCTTGAACTCCTTGATATCAGCTCCCCTTTACCCCTCCCTCCCCCACCCTACCATCCCCCTCAATCTTAAGTATATTATATATTATTATTATTATTATTTTGCCTTAACTTACAGTATCCCATGTATCCATTCTCCTTAAATTCTGGTGTTCATTCCCTTCCTTTTGACACACTTTAAATTTGTTCTAGTTTTAATTATTTTCTGCTTTTTTATCAAGGTTTTTCTGTTTTATTTTGCTACTCTCTTTTTCTCTGTGTGTACTTTTTTCTTTATATGAAAGCCAGAATAGTAAACCTACAGAGACTGTAACTGGATTAATAGTTTCTTAGGGTTATGGCAGAGGAAGTTGGGAGAAATAAGGAGCTAAAAAGAATGAATGCAAGTGAATAAAATGCTCTAAAATTGATTGTGTTGAAGACTGTAAAACTCTTTTAATGTGGTTAAACCATTGATTAATATGTGAATGAAATGTCAATAAAACTGTTTTTTAAAAAGTGCGTCTAGTCTTCTTTGCTTTCAGCAAGCAGGGTAGTGCCATCCACACACTGCAGGTTGTTAACGAGTCCTCTCCCAACGCTGATGCTGTAATCTTCTTCATACTTCTCAGATTATCTGCTCAGCATACACACTAGATAAATACGGTGAAAGGATGCAACCCTGATGCACATCTTTTTGGATTCTGAACCATGAAGTATGGGTTTTGAACCACCTTGTCTGTTCAAAGGACCGTCTCTTGGTCTATGTAAGTTAACATAAGAGAATAATTAACAAACACCCCCCCCAAAAAAAAAACCCTTCATTGTCATTCCAATTCATAGCAACGCTATAGGACACAATAAACCTGTTTGGGTTTGAGACCTGTATATCTTTGTGGGCGTGGACAGCCTCATCTTTCTCCTGAGGAGCAGCTGGTGGGTTTGGACCACTGACCTTGTGGTTAACAGCTCAATGTGTAGCCTACGATGCCACCAGGAGCACAATTAAAGTGCTCTGGAATTCCCGTTCTTCCCAATGTTATCCACAATTTGCTATGACCCAGGCAGTGACAGCTCTTTGCAGAGTCAATACAACACGGGGCAACATCTTCCTGGTGTTCTCTGTTTTCAGCCAAGATCCATCTGACATCAGCAACGATCTCCTTCATTCCCTGTCCTCTTCTGAAGCTAGCTTGAATTTCTGGAAGTTCTCTATGTACTGTTGTAATTGTTTGAAAATTATCTTCAGCAAAATTTTACTTATGTGTGATATCAATGGCATCATTTGATAATTCCTGTATTCTGTTGGATCACCTTTCTTTGGCATGGACATGAGTAAGC